GTTTGAATGAAAATGGGACCATTTTTAAAAAGTGACGTGAAAATACCTTTGAAATTTCTGTTTGTTTGATTTGGTAGGTTTTAGATATCTTTGCTGTTTTTGTGCTATGATTCTTGGTCTGCCCTTTGCTTCCCAGGTAATGAGGATGTTGATGAAAGTACTTTGGCTCTCCCTCCACCACCCAGGTATGCCTTTGAGGAACTCGAGAGGCTACATGTAGCAAAATGACACTGACCAAAGTACATCCCTATGGTCACAGCTGCTTGCTGTGTGCTCTATAACAACTGAGAATAGAATGGAGAATGTTACACGGGCATATGGGATACTGGACCTGCATATGGCCTATTTGTTTAGCCCAGTGTGAGCTCTGGGCCTATTATGCTGATCAGGTGAGCATGATTAAGGGTTGGCCTGTAGCTATTGAATTCAGCACCATAGTTTGGTCACACTGACACTCATGGAAGGAGGACAAGGAGCATAATCTCTAGCTGATGTGTTGCTGTCATGAACCCTTCATTACTTTACCTTTTAAAACTGATTGATTTGATGTCAGGCAGTCACCAGTGTATATAAAATGAAGTATTCCATTAACAGTGTGTCCATGCCTTTGCGATACTCACAGAAATGTTATTAAAGAACGTGCCTTTTACTAGAAGGACAAGCCAATTTGGAAACTACAAACTGGGGCAAAAAGTGCAGCCATGCTTCTTGCTTTTACGGTGCCCCACCTTTCTATGTAGCACAGTTTGTAATTAGTGCAATAAGCACAGGACTCAGCACAGGAACTGTATAGCCAATGCAGAATTTTTTGCAGGCATCATTGTAGAAGTGAGTTTTAAGAAGAGTAGTGTAGCAGCTTTGGAGGATTTTGTCAGGCCTTTCCATGAGGGGCAGCATGAGAGAAAGCACAAAGGTCTTTGTGGCAGTTGAGACTGACTTTATTGGTGAGGGTCAGTAACTCAATAACATATAGGAAATGATAGGTGTGGGGAGGGGAGCACTGATGACAAGTAATGTGTGTTTGAACTCTACTGCTGAGGAGTCTGTAATCTGAGACAACAATCGTTTTATGCAAAGGGAAGATTCTCTGTACTGCAAGGGAGATGGGTGGTCTGGGGCTGTGATAAATGAAGGGGAGGGGGAGCTCCCTTTTATGAACACCCAGCCGGCCAGTAGCTATGAAATCACTCTTAGTAGCTGTACCTGTAAAGGGTAAAAAAGTCTCACTGCTATGCATAGGTAGAAAGAAGGGAGTGGGCACCTGGCCAAAAGAGCCAATAGGAAGGCTAGAACTTTTTAAAATTAAGAAAAGACTCCCCTCTTGTCTATCTGTTGTTGTTCTCCTGGGCAGAGGCGGACAGAGTAGCAGCTATGCTGTAAGAAGCTTGAGTCAGGTATGAAAAAATCATCAGTATCATACCTAGAAACTACTCATTTAAAACCCCAGATATGTAAGTAGATCAGGAAATGTCTAGGAAGTCGCAATTAGGTTTATACCTTTTATTTCGTTATGGCTGTGGATTCCTCTGTGCTAACCCCAGGTGCTTTTGTTTTGCTTGTAACCTTTAAGCTGGACCTCATAAAAGCTATTATTGGTGTTTAATCCATGTAGTTGCTCTTTTAAAATCCAGCAATAGCCTGAGTATTTTCTTTCTTTTTTTTCATTAATAACATTTATCTTTTTTAAGAACAGAATTGGATTTTTGTTTCTTAAGAGGTTTGTGCACATATAGTTTAATTAGCTGGTGGCAAACTGATTTCCTTTTTTTTTTTTTTCCTCAGCTCTTCCCCGGAGGGGGGAATGAAAGGGCTTGCGGGTACCCCACAGGAAGGAATTCCCAAGTGCGCCTTCCTGGGCTCTCAAAGGGATACTGCAGTTGGGTGATGACTGCATCTGCCAATCCAAGGTCAGAGAAAAGCTGTAACCTTGGGAGTTTAATACAAGCCTCGAGTGGCCGATATTAATTTTTAGAATCCTTGCAGGCCCCACTTTCTGCACTCGAAGTGCCAGAGTGGGGAATTAGCCTTGACAGGGGGAATATAAAAATGACTGGACTGGCAAGATGCTGATTCATTTTGTAGTAGGTGGGTGGATGGATTGATATCTGCATGGAACTGGTAATGGATAGATTGGGAAAGAATTGATGGATGTAGGCAGAACTGTGCAGTGGAGTGCACTCATCTGGGTATTTTATGTGCATTTTATTTCCTGCCCCTAGCTTGTTATCATACCTTCCTCCTGAAGACACCACAAGTTAGGCCTGATGAATCAGTGTTGTCATTCTGTAAAACACTGAGGAAAGGAAGTAGGTCCATGAGAAGATTTTATTTTACAAACTCCCCATTTTCCACCCTATTTCCTGTGATCAAGGGTTTGGTGGGAGGTTAGGTTGGGGACAGAAACTCAGTGGTTGGGGGCCATAGGTTGATTGAGTTTAGATGAGTATCTGAATTCTTGGATACTTAGCTGACCTAAACTGTAAACCTTTTGAAGTTCCACCTTCACTACAATTTGTAGGTATTTTTGCTGTGTTGGGACTGCTTTCCTCTATGATCATTTATGTCATACGAGCACACAGACAATTGCCCTCAACAACAACAAAATGTATTGTTATTAAATCTGGGCTCTGTCTTACATTCTGCTATATGAATTTTGACAAATTTGACTGAGTCTATTTGATATATAATCTGGATCCATGATTACTGGTTCCCTGCATGCGTCTATGTGTATTTTGGTTATGTATACTTTATTAAAATAACTATTTTCTAAGACTACTAACAGAAAGATTGTGGCTAACATGGTCCCTAACAGGTAAAAGCTGTATTTTTAGTTTCACTCCCCTCTCAAATTTTAGTACTCAACAATTGTGCCACGTTTTTCATCAGGGAAAGTGTTCTCAATATCTTTGCAGTGATGAAGAAGCATTTCCTCTCTGTTAATTTTCATAAATATTGTAATGCAAATCAAAATATTGCATGTGTTTAAAGAATATTTTTTTCCTGTTTGCTAACTAAATTCTGGAACTCTTTTTGAATGAGCAGTATACAGAAGAGTTGGCTGGATTTATACTAGCATAGGTTTGACTTTGATCCAAATATGCAGTTATATATTTTTTCTATGCAGTCTTGTATATACAATGTAAACATACATCCTCACTTCTTCTGTGTTACACATGCAACTCCCCTTTATATTAAATGAAGACTTACTATCCTCCATTTACAGAAGAATTGATATCAGTATTTGAACTTGATCTTTGGGTATTGTGTCCATTTGTAATTAAAGTAATGTTGTTATTCTTGCTATTACAGGGAAACTTGGGAAATCTGTATGTGAAAATAAAAGTTGCCTCAAAGAAACTTTAATCTTCTGCATTTGGAATTTACTCAGTTCTGCAGATGACCTATGGGTAAGTCACATTCACTTAGCATTTATAAACCACAAATGGGATGGGAGACTAAGAGCAAATTTTTTCTTTCAGCTACACCATTTAACCTACAGTAACACCATTAACGTCAATAGTTTTTTACATCCCTGTAACTGAGTAGACTTTTGTTCTAAAACTAGAAGGCAAATCAGCTTTTGTGCCAAAATAACCATGGAAAAGGGTAGCTGTTTAAATGATCTAAATAGTTGTGAAATAGCTTTGAACTGATGATTTTTGACATATGTTGTATCAGATAAAATAGAAAATGCTATCTATCACTCTGCATTCTTCTTGAGCTAAAATCAATTTAAATAAAGGGAATCCAGGGTGGAATCAATCTGCATGGTTTTTTACAATTCAAAGATTTAACTTATTAAAAGTTTGACCTTTCTACACTGAAGGAACTATAATGACTGCCTACTTTTTATTTTCTCAACTGCACTGGTAAGCACTCCATTAAGTAAAAAAGTTTTGTGCTGTAATAAGAATGTCATATTACATCTCTCCAAAAGCGAATATTGTTACAATATTTGTTGAATTTATGCCAGTAAGAAAATTGGAAAAAGTTACACTACACAAATGTTCATTCCACCAAATATATGTACGATTTTTTCCACTTTAAAAGCTCTGGAAAATATTTCATTGTCAAATAATCTTTGATTTTTCCACAAACAAATTTGTATCATCTAAAGTTTGAGGGAGAGTCAGAGAACCAAGATCTCTTGAGTACCTGCTCTGTTCTGTAATCATTAGACCCTGTTATTAGATTATAACTCTTGAGTTTCCTAAAAAAATTTTTTAGTTTACCTCTAGAAGACACTAGAACTCAACTGAAGCATTTTAGTAAAAACTAGGGTGGTGGTGGTGGTGGGGAGGGGTGCCTGTATTGTGGACATATATTTTCAGTGCTGTCAGTCTGTAATCCTTTTGAAGAGGAAATTCACCTTTAAATTAGACAATCTAATAAACTATAGCTTTGTAATCAATTAAGGTGCCTTAACAAAAAGGAAATAACTTTTTTTGTTTAACTATTTTTTTTCCACATTAACTGTTATAGTTGGATTAACCTCAGTGGCTTTAATGGGACTCTGGACCAGCAAAAGGGAAGCTATACTAGAGGTACTGAAACCCCAAGTAGTCCTTGCATTTGAGTAGTCCTATTGATTTAAAGTCTAATATTGCAAATTTTTAGTCACATGACTTAAACTCGTCGTATTCTTGAAATAGGACTTGTTTTTCCAGCGGTGCTGCTTCCCACCTTCTTGGTCACAGTTGAAATATTGGGTTTTTTTTTTCCTTATCAAATGAATGGACACCCAATCTTCTCCATCTGAACACATGCAAAATTTTGGTGGGAAATGCTTGGTTAAATATAGACAGCATAAAAATGGCTGGAGTAAGCACTGTTGTTACAGGAGTAATTGCATTCTTTCCTTCAGCCTGAATATGTAGATAGCTTCTTGGAGGGGAAGGATTCACAATTCATCTCCCAGAACAGGCAACATAGTTGTAAAAACTGGTTTATTTCTTAAAAATAAATACAAAAATATAAATATAAAACATTGGCAGATAGAATTTGATGAAATGAAGTTGCACAAACTTTTTTTAAACCAGCTGCATATCACACTTATTAACACCACATGTACATTTTTTTAAAATTTTAATGTACAGAACTGGACATACTTTTTTTTTCTTTGCCTTCTTAAAAGCTGCACTTGCAAGGGTAGGACATGTACCTAACAAAAGCGGCTTGTACATGAGGTTGCTTAAGGGAATATCACCCTGTTCAAGCTTCTGAAAGTACTTTTACTTACTAAAATGGACAACACTGAATTTCCATAGCTTTGGCTCTTGGAAGGTGATTAAATAAAATGCTGTATATATTCCGTGACATCCTACTAGAAATAATGAATGACAATGAACAAATTAGAAAGAAAACCATTGTGCTGAGTGGCAGGAAAATTTTCCTGAATGTTAAATATTGTTGAGTGGAGAAGGTGTCTGTAAAATTACTTCCTCTCAAATGGACCCTATTGGAGGTTAAGAAGTGTCTTTGTCACTTTCTCCTCCACCATACATTTCAGCTAGCTTATTAAACCGAGGGCCCCATTCTCTGAGGTAATCGTAGTTTTGGTCTCCTTCAGTAGTACCTGACTCTAAGGAACTCAAGGATTCAGCTATAGAATCATTTCCTTCGTAGGCGTAGGTTGCAAGTGAATCATATGGTGGTGCAGAGGGATCAATATCATGCTCCTTTAGCCTTTGGTTAATGAAATCTCGGACATCTGTATTATTTGGTGCTGAAGGAGTCCTCCGTGGTATAAATAATGTTTCAGGAATAATATCTCGTCGAAGCTTCTTATCTTCAATAGCTGCAGGATTTCTCAGTGTGCCAATATCAAAGGCTTGAGTGTCTTCCTCTCCACCACCTTCATCATTATAACTCACAATGTTGTCTCTGATGTCCTCTTTAGACAGGATCAGAGGCTCTTTCTTTCGCTGCCTCTTCAAAGCAGCAAATAGCACCACTATAACTTAAAAAAAAAACAGAAGAGCAGATAGATAAACTAAAGATCTCAATTTAACAATTTCTCAGTGGCAAGCTCAGCAGACACAATAGCTTTACTTTACCTAAGTTTTACCAACTAAGCTTAAGAGTCCCTGAAACAGCAATGACTCCATCCTGTTTTTTGATCACCTTACCATGTATCGTGTAAAACCTCTCTTGTGCTTAAGACAGGATGCACTCAGAATAAGATCTTTTCTGTATCTTTGAATAGGGACATTGGTTTGGTCTGAAAATGGCCAGGTCTACTTTGATGGTGAGGAAGACTATTTTTGCAAGTTTCAAGCAGACTGCTCAAACTGTGCTTGAGTTGCAGTTAATTAAATATTACTTTGAAAAATCATAAAATTCAATCTTGGTATCCTTCCACTCCAAACAGCTTCTTTCTGATCACTTTATGTAAAGTTAAACATTTGTGAACTAGTGCACAGGAATCTACTTGACAATTATATATCATCAAAATACTGCTGACTGATGTCTCTATTGTAATGGTGATTTTGTGTGAGAAATAGTGTGTTTTGTTTTATGGCTGGATGCAGTTAGAGAGAACATAGGTATCACTTTTTATTGTTTGTAGTGAACACATATTCTTTTAGTATAAGAAAGAGGAACTCCTTCTAATGAACCTGGAATTTAAATTGCCTTGTTTCTATCTCCCTTACGAAAACACACTCACTTGAACACATATTATACTATATAAATATGAAGTATAATTGTTTCAATTAAGCTATAATGTTTTAATTTAGAAGACATTTCACTTTGTTTCCAAAGATACTGATTACTTTTTAGCGTAGCTTAATAATTTTTATGAATAATAGGCATTCAGCCCATTTTTGGTTTGCCAATAATTTGTGAATGGAGCTTGATTTTTTTTATGAGTGTATTTGGCAGGTATTCACAAAATAGCTTAGATGAATAATGTTCAGTCTACAGTGGTTTCCACCAGGTTTGCCAACTGTTCATTATAAATAGTGTTGTTTGGTCATTTAAATTATACAACATTTCCTCAGTATTTGAACTTAACTACTAACAAAGACAAATAGTTTGTTTGTTTTTTTTAAACAAATCTATTCATGTTAAATTTATAATTAAACTTTCAGGAAATGTCAACATTTTTACATAGAAGAAAAACTCATAGTGAGATGAACATTTGGGGCCTAATCCAAAATCCATTGAAACCAATTAATTCTATCATCTAATATAGATTCATAGATTCTAGGACTGGAAGGGACCTCGAGAGGTCATCGAGTCCAGTCCCCTGCCCTCATGGCAGGACCAAATACTGTCTAGACCATCCCTGATAGACAGATATGAAAACGATTAACCTCAGTGAGCTTTTGCTCAGACTCTTAGTCACCAAGGTATTTGTGAATCAACCAGTTTTAATGGATACAAGCAATATGACTGCAGTCAACTCATAAATGGGATTTCCTAGGGACTAGGAAATTTGATGAAACCTTTTGACCCAAACTGCACTATTCATACTTTAGTTGACTACAGGCTTTCGTGTATGAAACACTGAGCCACCTAATAAGTAAAGCTGGTTCAATTACTTTTTTTTTTTTCAATCAGAAAGTGTGTCTTCCTCTAATGCTATTTTTTTTTTTTCAGGAAAAATGCTATTTTTGACAGAAAAATTAAATTTTCTGATTGGAAAAAATAAGTTATTTTGAATCAGCATTTCAAAATAAAATGATTTTTTTTTCTTTTTATTTTTAGAAAACAAAATATATTTATTCCATTTTGATTTGGGTATTTTCAGGGTTTTTCCCTCCCTCTTTTCCACTGGAAAAGCAGGCTGGTGGAAACCACTCTCTAAATATTTGCAGTTGGAAAAACACTTTCTTTCATTTTTATCTTTAATGCTTTCATGAACTGGAAGTGCATAGAAGAGCTACACACATACCTGTTCTGATATTAACTTTAATACCAGCATAAAGTGTGCTGGCTTCCCACCATCTTTTCAAGTGAGGGAAAATAATGGAGAAAGAAATCTAACAATACTCAATTATTTTTGTTTTCAAAAACTGAACCTCTGGAAATTATTTCAAAATGTCTTGTAGAAAACAGACACTTAAATGGGGAAATTTACCCCCTGGGATAACAATGCCATTTCCCAACTAAAGATTAGAATCCTAATTCTAAAAGATAAGCACCTTCTGTGATGTGTGCTGAGAAATTACAGTTGTATGACTGCCACTTGAGTAAAACTAGCAGGATTTGAACCCATGTGTGACACTTGCAGACTAGGTGCTAGCTCATGCCAAAGCACCAGGTCAATTCAGTTTTGTATTAGTATAGATCAAAGTGATTGTATAAGAGTGCATTTGGTGTTTAAACTGCATTAAAACAAGTGGGATGTTACCTGCATTGTTTTCACTTATCTGTATACCATTATAATGTACTAGCAAATATTTTACATGATGTATACCTCTGTAACTAAATAACCCATCAACCAAGGAAGAAGTCTTGTCAATGCAAATGAAGAATTTTAACAGAAAAGTGTTAATTTCAAAGCAAGTGGTCATTGTGTGTTATAACCCCTGGGAGAATAACATGAGGGGGAAAGGAGTCCAGGAGAGCTGGCTGTATTTTAAAGAATCCTTATTGAAGTTGAAGGAAAAAAACATCCCGATGTGTAGAAAGAATAGTAAATATGGCAGGCGACCAGCTTGGCTTAACAGTGAAATCCTTGCTGATCTTAAACGCAAAAAAGAAGCTTACAAGAAGTGGAAGATTGGACAAATGACCAGGGAGGAGTATAAAAATATTGCTCAGGCATGCAGGAGTGAAATCAGGAAGGCCAAATAACACTTGGAGTTGCAGCTAGCAAGAGATGTTAAGAGTAACAAGAAAGGTTTCTTCAGGTATGTTAGCAACAAGAAGAAAGTCAAGGAAAGTGTGGGCCCCTTACTGAATGAGGGAGGCAACCTAGTGACAGAAGATGTGGAAAAAGCTAATGTACTCAATGCTTTTTTTGCCTCTGTCTTCACAAACAAGGTCAGCTCCCAGACTGCTGCACTGGGCAGCACAGCATGGGGAGGAGGTGACCAGCCATCTGTGGAGAAAGAAGTGGTTCGGGACTATTTAGAAAAACTGGACGAGCACTAGTCCAAGGGGTCGGATGCGCTGCATCCGAGGGTGCTAAAGGAGTTGGCGGATGTGATTGCAGAGCCATTGGCCATTATCTTTGAAAACTCATGGTGATCGGGGGAGGTCCCGGATGACAGGAAAAAGGCTAATGTAGTGCCCATCTTTAAAAAGGGGAAGGAGGAGGATCCGGGCACTACAGGCCAGTCAGTCTCACCTCTGTCCCAGGAAAAATCATGGAGCAGGTCCTCAAGGAATCAATTTTGAAGCACTTAGAGGAGAGGCAAGTGTTCAGGAACAGTCAGCATGGATTCACCAAGGGCAAGTCATGTCTGACTAACCTAATTGCCTTCTATGAGGAGATAACTGGCTCTGTGGCTGAGGGGAAATCTGTGGACGTGTTATTCGTTGACTTTAGCAAAGCTTTTGATAGGGTCTCCCACAGTATTCTTGCCAGCAAGTTAAAGAAGCATGGGCTGGCTGAATGGACTATAAGGTGGACAGAAAGCTGGCTAGATCATCGGGCTCAATGGGTAGCGATCAATGGCTCCATGTCTAGTTGGCAGCCAGTATCAAGCGGAGTGCCCCAAGGGTCGGTCCTGGGGCTGGTTTTGTTCAATAGCTTCATTAATGGTCTGGAAGATGGCATGGATTGCACCCTCAGCAAGTTTTCAGATGACACTAAACTGGGAGGAGTGGCAGATACACTGGAGGGTAGGGATAGGATACAGAGGGATTGGGCCAAAAGAAATCTGATGAGGTTCAACAAGGACAAGTGCAGAGTCCTGCACTTTGTACGGAAGAATCCCATGCACTGTTACAGATTAGGGACCAAATGGCTAGGAAGCAGTTCCGCAGAAAAGGACCTAGGGGTTACAGTGGACGAGAAGCTGGATATGAGTCAACAGTGTGCCCTTGTTGCCAAGAAGGCTAACGGCATTTTGGGCTGTATAAGTAGGGTCATTGCCAGCAGATCGAGGGACGTGATCATTCCCCTCTATTCAGCATTGGTGAGGCCTCATCTAGAGTACTGTGTCCAGTTTTGGGCCCCACACTACAAGAAGGATGTGGAAAAATTGGAAAGAGTCCAGCGGAGGGCAACAAAAATGATTAGGGGGCTGGAGCACATGACTTACGAGGAGAGGCTGAGGGAACTGGAATTGTTTAGTCTGCAGAAGAGAAGAATGAGGGGGGATTTGATAGCTGCTTTCAACTACCTGAAAGGGGGTTCCAAATAAGATGGAGCTCGGCTGTTCTCAATGGTACCAGATGACAGAACAAGGAGTAATGGTCTCAAGTTGCAGTGGGGGCAGCTTAGGTTGGATATTAGGAAAAACTTTTTCACTAGGAGGGTAGTGAAGCACTGGAATGGGTTACCTAGGGAGGTGGTGGAATCTCCGTCCTTAGAGGTTTTTAAGGTCAGGCTTGACAAAGCCCTGGCTGGGATGATTTAGTTGGGGATTAGGTCCTGCTTTGAGCAGGGGGTTGGACTAGATGACCTCCTGAGGTCCCTTCCAACCCTGATATTCTATGATTCTATGATCAGAGATCAAAGACTCAAAATGCATTCCTCACTCTGTCATCAAAGGAAAAGCCTACGTAGGTAGTGACCGTGTCATCTTGTTTTCTGTGAGAAGAAGTTACAAGTATGGATTTAAGGAAAGATCTCTGGACTGTTTGAATTCTTACAGGAAGTATGCCAGATGCAAAGTGGAGATCCCCAGAGATAATCTGGGTACCCTGAAAAGACTTTTGGGACATTAGCAATTTATTACATCACTGCCACTATTTGGAATTACAAACTGTGACTCACTTATACATATATTTTACCTGCTTTAACCTCTTAACTCTCTCTTCTTTTGGTTAGTTTACTATAGA